TGTGTACATACAACCATATAATACTAATAACTGTAAAGAACAAACAATTTCAACTAATCAGTTTACTTAAATATGTAAGTATGAAAAGTTCACCTTCAATATCGTTCGTGTGGCATTGTTGAATTTCCTATTTGTTTTTTTTATTACTAACATTAACTAAGTATTTGCTGAGGTTTACTTTAAACTTTAATGATTAAAGTGCTAAAATAAGGTAGCGTGAAGTGTGCTTTTATTTATTTCGTCGACTGATTTTGTGCGCATGCGCAGAGTGTTCGTTGAGTAACCATTTATTTGATACTTGTTTACATTTTTTGTAACGTACATCTACCGACTGGGAAAATAGGTAAGCACGTTACGAGGTAATCCATGTTTTCTTTCAGGTTTTAGTACAGAAATTGTCATAATGACAAATGCCATCAAAGTTGCCTATAAACTAGTCTCATGTAAATTTCCCAGAAACTTACACCAGCCATTTTGTTGCTGAAGTAATTTTAATGATTTTGATGTGTAAACATCTAAGCTCTTGTTTTGAATAAATTTGAAACTGTGTCTTGTGTGTAGTATAATTGAACATTTCGGGTTAAGCTCAGGGCTATTTTGGCACCATTTAGGGATTAGATCCCGATTATTTTCGGACCCTTTCGGGACTGGTTCGAGATCATTCGGGGCCGGTTTAGGATTATTTCAAGAACATTTTGGGACCTATTCATATCCATTGCGGGCCTAGTTCACGACTATTTGAGGACCATTTTGGATCTAGTTATGAACCATTTCGTGACCAGGTGAGGACTATTTAAGGAACACTTCACGACTAGTATGGAACAGTTTTGGGACTAGTTTCGCATCATTTTGCGGCTAGCTCAGGACTATTTGAGGACTATTTTGGGCCTAGTTCGGGATCATGTTGGGACTAATAAGGGACCATTTCCGAAGCATTTAAAGACTTGTTCGAGAAAATTCCGGAACGAGTTCACGACTTTTTCGGCCGTTTCGGAGCCTATTCAGAACTACTTCAGGACCATTCCGGAATTGGTTGGGGATGAGCTTGGGACCTGTTAAGGACTATTTCTGAAACAATTGTGAACTAGTTCCCTATTACTTTAGAACTAGTTCGAGACTAACTCTTGACTTCAGACTAGTTCAAGACTATTTAAGGTCTGGTTAATATTTTCGCCCCAATTTCGGACTAGTTCGAGATGATTTTGAGACCACTAAGGGAGTATCTCGGGACCTTTTCAGGGCTTGTTCGAGATCATTTCGGAATGGTTCACGCCTGTTTCAAGCCCATTCCAGGACTAGTTGGGGACTATTCAAGAATAATTTCGGCCTAGTGCGGAACCATTTTGGGACTAGGAAAGAACATTTCGGGACCGTTTCAAGACTTGTTCGAAATCGTTTCAGGTCAAGTTCCAGACATTATCAAAACCATTTCAGGACAGTTTTGCAACTAGTTCGGCATCATATCGCGCTTGTTCGAAATTAGTCCCGAAATGATCCTGAACATTTCCCGAAGTTATTGTCAAAAGGTCATCGACAAAATAAAATTTAATTAATTTTTAATTTCTAACCTCTTATATTTATGTGTGTAACTGAATCGCCTAATGCTTTGACCAGCAGTACATATACATATACATATTTATTTATACATAAAATTTCAAGAGTACCTTTTATTTACGCTATGTTTTTTAACATACTGCTTATGTAGGTACTGAACGAGTATGACGGTTTCCCCTCTAGCGTGCCAGGAGGAGGTACATCGATCGCTGCTCTACCCGCGATTATAGCAAAGTGTCAGTATAGTGTCTGTTAAGCCACTTGTTGTACCAGATGAAATTGAGGAGGTCCGGTAGTTTCACTTTAGTTCTCGGCCAAGCTGGCGAATGAGCGAGATTGAAAATGCGTCTCACCTTGTGTGGGCAAATGGACATTGTCATATGACTACATTTGCTGAGAAAGAGAAATTGTTAGCATACGCCCTCGTTGGATCATTGGTGCTATATTTAGTAGATTGTCTTGTGTATCGCCAGTAAGAACCCTTAATGCGGATTGGTTTAACTTCAAATTTTCCTCAGTTAGTTTCCTGCTAAGTCTAATGCAGTAATTCATGTTATTAATGTAGAGATTCATACAGCACCCGGACTAAATGCATTCGATTGTACTGTTTTCCTGTCCATTTTAATCTGTTTTAAACCTGCACGATTTACGAATAAACCTTGGCAGATGGTTGGGTGTCAAAGAGCTCAGGTGTTCGTTTCTCACCATATCTCGGCCAAATGCTTTATATCTAATCCTTGCAAAGGCCCATTTTACGGTAGGAAGAGAAAATAGGGTGTTCGTGTAGGTCGATCCCAGTCTGGTGTTTGTGTCACTAGATAGACCCTTTGATATTGGAGGTAACATAAGTTTTACCCACCTTCAACCCCTCGTTGCCTCCCAGTCATTGCTAAGCGAAGTATTCACCCAGTTTCTGATGGTGGCTTTGATGGCCGAAGGTGGGAGTGCTATAACTGGTTGCGTGCCGAGGAATGCCTGGTCTGAGCCAACTCTGGCCAAATGGCTAATGGTCAGATGTCTCATTACCAGGTAGTCTCAGCAAGCTCGTTATGTTTAATAACATAATTTACTCAACGTTTCATTGCCGCACTAGTTTGGAAGTAGTTAGAGGACTGGCCGATGTCTTAACTGCAGCATGGCTTGCAAATAACTCAGCTTGGAAGGCCGAAGCATATTAACCAAGAGAGAAGAGAAGTTTATCCCCATTAAATTCTATGAAGACCCAGATCCAGACCCATAGTCAGATTTGGAGCCATCAGTGAAGATTCGAAAATGTGTGAGTACGGGCTCAGTACTGGAATTGAACCAGCATTCAGCCTCAGGAAACTCAACGTTAAAGAATCTCTTCAACAAAGGTACTGGTGGCGTACTATCCGCCAGCAACTTTCGTCTCGCTACGCTCAGGCGTTATACTACTATCCGTTTGTCTTTAGTATGCAGGTGTCCTTTAGTGCAGTAGTGCTTCAAGAGCTGCGCCTGGTGTTACAGAGAAAGTACATGGCAATCGTTATATGAAGTTTAGCAAGCAGATTTACCATGCTAATGATTTAGAGTCTGTTCCACCATGCCACTGACGCGTAGCTGATTATGGGTCTGATCATAGAGGTATAAATCCAGAGAATTCGCCTTGGTGACAGACCCCACATTTTGCCAAAGACCTGTTTGAATTGCCAAAATACTGTCAATGCTTTGGAGCTCTGGTGCTCCATATGAGCTAGTAAGGCGATTTATGAAAAGTAATTGCACAGATTGACCGTAAAATAGGGAACGTATTTGTATTTAATAATAACACTGGTCTACAAGGGTTTTGCGAATAAGACGGGACCTGGTGTTTCCGAACGGATTTTTCGTGCTGAACACGAATCTGGGGTCCAAAACTTCCCATCACGTCACGTTTTCGAGAAAAAAGGGGTTGAAACCCCTAAAAACAGCGTGTATATGTCAGAAATTAATGGCTAAATCGTGCCCTTTCGAATGAGCCCTATGCCGAATTAATCGCATGCACCCTTAGATCAGGGGGTGTATTTGTGTCTAGGAGTCCAGGGAAAATTGATCGCAGAAAGAATTTCATCTTAAACGACCATATAAATTTCTTAAATTTTTAAAATCTAACTGCAGATTCGTAATCAGCGACTTTTAATATAGTTAAAACCTTGGCATTATTAATTTTCTATGATCGTTTAAGATTAAATTCTTTCTGTGATCAATTTTTCCTGCACCCCTAAACACAAATACACCCCCTGCTTTAAGGGTGCACGCGATCAATTCGGCATAGGGCTCATTCGAAAGGGCACGGTTTAGCCTTTAATTTCTGATATATGCAAAATTTGTACCACGTCAGGGTTCAGCTCTATAATTTTTCGAAAATGGCCAAAAACGCTGTTTTTAGGGGTTTCAACCCCTTTTTTCTCGAAAACGTGACGTGATGGGACATTTTTGACCCCGGATTCGTGTTCAGCACGAAAAATCCGTTCAGAAACACCAGGTCCCGTCTTATTCGCAGAAAAAAAGTTGAAATTTGTAGACCAGTGTAATAGGAGTAATAGGAAATTAAATCAAATTTATTATGATTTTCTCAGAATAAAAAAAGAAAATTATTTTACAATTCCCTTATACACACAATCACCTGTTTTATAATCCCCTATAATCAATGACATGTAATTGTTTTGTGCCGCATATAAAATGTAATTGTTGTGCAGAATTATAAAATGCAATTGGCACAGTTTTATGTATGTATGTATGTGCATTTTTGATTTACTAAATGTGACTCAAACAAAGGCAGCAATTTTTATATTGCACTAATTAATGTGGTTTATTCATGCACCTTGTGATATTATAAAATTATGGTATGCCATAATTATTATGGTCTGTCATAATTTTTATGGTATAACATACATTTTGTGGTGTGACGTAATTTTTATTAATTAAAAAATGCGTATGCAGGATAATGTGGGATTTATCATTTATATAGATAGATACTTACATATGTGTGTATGCGTGTGTGTCATGCTTATTAAGCTTAAGGGCCGTTTTCTCAAGTAGGTTTGTGTTTCAAACACATTTTTTCATTTTTTGTGTTAGAGGGTAGATACTTTTAAAATTTACTTGAGAAAACGGCCGTTCGAGTATCGAAAAAATTCTGTGAAATATTTCCAATAATTACAGTGTTCACTGCTTTGGGCAACACAAATTTCCAACATTATATTTATATGTTCTTCGGATTTCATTATAGCCATTTATTATTTTTAAAATCATTTTATGTGTAATTTAAAACAGTGATAGGATAGAAATATAAAGTTCCAAGAGCGGTCGTTTAAAATTCCATAATCCAACTCAGCTACAAGTGCATATACGTATCTACGACTATCAAAAAAAAAAAGTCTCACAATTGTGTTATACCCTTATTTCACAAAACTGAATATCTCTCTCTCTATTTCTCATTCCAGTAATGAATTGGATGTTAAGAAAATCAACTAATAAATAACTATTAATTGGAACTCAAAAAAGTCTTCAAACATACTTCATACCTACATACATCTATGTAAAGTTGATATATAAACAAAGAACGACTTAATATTTTTTATACATATAAAATCGTATTGGAATTGTACTGAACGCGCAAATATCGAACTCGTGCCCAACAATAGCTTGTGATATATAGTACACAAATACACAAGAATAAAGTCACACGTATAGCAATCATTACGACTGCAACAGAATATAATCAAAGACAATATAAAAGTGACGTCGTTAAGCAACAAAAAAATCGGATAGCGAAGGCGCTGTCAAAGCTAAATAGCAACTCAAAGAATAACGCTCATTACACTGTATAACAAGAAAATATAATCACAAGTAAATTGAAAAAAAAAAAAAAAAAAAAAAATCGCCCAAGTAAACTTCAACTCAGCACAAAAACGCCAACGACATTGCCACTACAAACTCAACACAAAAGAATTTCAACACAAAGCAAAGCTACTAAATAAGCGCATATATCGATAATCATCGTCATCATTAGCCATTATCATCGTCAGATCATCAGCATACGTGCATACGTATTCGACTGGCTTCCAGTCCCACAAAACCACACCACTGTTCATTGCACAGCAGAGGTGAGAGTGCGTTCGTACGTAACGCTGCAGTAAATACCCCCACTCCTTACCAGCGTAGGCCAACACTCACGTCATAGGCACAGCCGCAGTCGCAGTCGCAGTCACAGCCACAACCCGAACCAACAGCCATGGATTTTGATCAGATACTCTCGAAATGCGGCGATTTCAGTCGTTATCAATTTATGTTGTTGACGCTATTCGGTGTCATCAATTTCATCGTCTCACTACACTATTTTACTCAAACTGTGATAAGTTTTGTGCCCGATCATTGGTGTTACCATGAGAAATTAGCGAATAAGTCATTCGATGAGATTGCAGAGATTTACTCGAAATTCGCGAATCCTTCGTGTACGCGACTACTGGACATCGATGGCGCCAATGTGACGGTGAGTCCAGAGCGTTGTACGCGTTGGATCTACAAGTATGATTACGGTTATAGGAGCATGAACACAGAGGTGAGTGGGTATGAGTTTAATAACATTTTTTATTAATAAATATTGAATGTTCACATATTGTTGGCTGTAACGTATTAACGTAGTTCTATCACATTTCTTCTTTCGCTTGCAGCTAAATTGGGTCTGTGATTCGGCGTATAAGGCGCGCGTTGGACAATCGCTGTTCTTTATTGGTTCCGTTGTGGGAACCCTCTTTTATGGTCTACTATCGGATAAGATAGGTCGCTTGCCCGCCTTGATACTTTCAAACTTTTCGGGCTTCATTGGTGATTTTTCGACAATATTCTCAAGAAGCGTAACGACGTTTTCACTGTGTCGCTTCATTTCTGGCATGGCAGCAGATACGAACTTTTACCTCATGTACATTATTGGTGAGTAAAGAAGAAAGACAGACAAAATACATGTATGCCTCCAAAAAAAAGTTAGGATATAAAAGGAAGATTTGAGGCTTCGATGTTAAGGGTTACGCGAATGGCATTGCTTTCTAATCAGAGGTTGGCTTGAAGACATTGGGCCTCGTGCATAAAATAAACTAACTGAAACTCCGACTCGGTACAAATTCTTGAGCCTGAGCTAACTTCATTGGTGCAGAAAATGAGGCCCACTATCTCTAATCACCTTCAGAATGCGCCAAACCCAGTCGTCAAATAATACAGTAAAATAGAAAAGGGAAATAGAAAAGGGAAAATCTATTGGAACCATTCTCTTAAAGAGAAAAGTCTGAGAGAGTTATTCCTGAAGACAAAATCCCGAATCGAATCCGTACCTAGATAAAGCTTTTCTGCAGTCCAGGGTTTCCATTTGGTAACTAATGGGCGGACACGGTGAGGCATCAGACCTGAGTTGGCATGGCGGTTGTGTGATACCACCTAAAAATCTATCCTAGCCTATGCTGCGCCCATTGTGTGGAAGGAGCCAGAATTGAAGTCCACGCAGGCCAAGCTCAGCAAACTACACCGACTAGCCTGCGTGGACATTACAAGCGCGATGAAAACAACGTGGCTCCCGGAACGCTATTAGACTTACCACCTCCACATACTGTAATCAATAGTCTGTTCCTTTACTAGTCCAATTTACAGGATTTAGTCCGGAAGATATTACTAAAGATATTTTAAACAGAGAGTAAGAAAGCGGGTATGCTATTTGCAGCAAAGCCCACCTTTGCGTTATAGAATAAGAGAAAGGAGAGCACATTAACTTTGTGGACCTGTGCATCCATAATTTCAAGGTATATTTTCCAAATGCTTAGAACAAACTAGAACAGTTAACGACTGAAACACTGGAAGATAGCCACGTCTGGTACACTTAACAGGAGTCTGTGGCTTAGAAGACAAAATGCTCCTTTTGACTACCATGAGGGTGAGGTAACCTTCTTTTTTCGGTGGAGTGGTATGCAATACGATGACAGATATTCTCGCCTGAAAAGGGGGATTTATAGAGAACAGGAATTTATAGGCGAAGGAGCCTTAATTGGCCTGCCATAGAGCTCTCTCTCTGGAAAGGCAACACAACTGAACAACTACAAAAGGCATCATAGAGGCTAAGTCCTTTATCCCTGAAATATCAACAAAGGATAACCGAAATACTATGCAATCCTCCACTACTTCGCTTAGAGTGGTAAATTCAGTAATACTGAATTGGATTTCCCTGAGCGAAGCGCCCATGTCCACCGCTAGGGACACATTTATTGCAAAGCCCCACTTCGCTTCACATCCGCTGCCTCATTACCGCATACATATAGAGATATACATATGTATGCCCTTGTACCCAAGTTAGAGTAATATCGTATTCTCAATCATTTCTCAATCTTTAATTAATTTGTTATTACAATAATGCCCTCCAAGCATTGGATCTTTCTCCGAATCCGCTTGAAAAATGTCAGCAAAGTTTAACGTTGGCCCAAAATTTGTTTATGTTTTAGTCGTTAAGCACTGCTTTTATATTGGTGCAGAATGTATTGAGGATGGTTCAGCCCTTAATTTCCGGGATCCTGGAGTATTACTACATCGTTGGGCATCCTATCCGTTCATAAAGATTACAGAAGCGTGCGAACAACCGCAGTATTAAGCACCCTATGAAAATTTCTAACTTAAGAATGACTACCTCCGAAGTTTCTTGAAGCAAAATTGGTAATATTTAGTCCATACATGGTGAATGAAAGAAGGAAGAAAGTGAAAATATACAATGTTACCTTTTTACTTTCAGAAGCTCCTTTTAAAGGTCACTAGTTAGAAAAATCGGAGTGTTTAGAGCAGCGGTTTGATCGACCCTACACCCTTGGAAGTGTGTTTTCAAGAGGAAGTCCATATTTCCTCAGTCCCTGAAATGGCAGAGAGAATCGCTTGGCGAAGATTCTACACAGCTTAGCTGACTCCTCGATATCCTATGTAGATTCGGGGAATATTCTCTAGAAGGCCTCCTTGGCATCGCAGAGAACCTTTTTATACTTCTTTAAGTTACTTTGTAACATTCGTTAGTCCAAATGTGCGAGCTTTCATACTTCCTTACGCATAACTTTGCTGATTCCTTATACCAAGAGAAATGTGTAAAAATATAGCAGTTTGTTTGGCAAACTGGAATAACTTTTTATGATCTCCTTTTGTGACTGCCTTCAAATTCTGTAGTAGATTGACCCTCAGGAGGCAGAGCCGCAGCCGCAGTTTAGAAAAGGCAGGACATTCACAAAGGATGTGCGACATTCTTTTGGCATCTCCTGCATATTTAATCCTAAGTAAGGCCTAACTTTAAGGCATGTAATGCCAACAAACAATTTCCTGTTCGTAAGAGCATGATGTGGTTCTTCAAATCTTGCAGCAATAAAACGATAGCATTACGAAAAAATTATGTGTAAATAATTTCTCTCCAAATCTGAACTTTACTTCAATCTCTTTTCCAGTACTCGAATACATCCGTCCGTCGATGCGTACACTTGGACTGAACTTGGCCGTCGGCGTTTTCTACACAATCGGTCTAGTCATTACGCCATGGTTAGCCGTGCTCGTTGGCCATTGGCAACTTTACTTAGCCTGTACTTCACTGCCAATACTCTCTGTGGTGCTGTATTATTTTGTAGTGCAAGAGAGCGCACAATGGTTGGTCACAAGAAATGATGTAGATGGTGCTATAAAGCGTTTGAAACGCGTTGCACGATTTAATAAGCGTAAAGTAACGCCAACGGAATTCGAGGAGTTTCGCAAACATTGCGAAAAGCAGCGTCAGAAAATGGGCGGTGACGATCAAGTGCATTCGACGCTATTGGATATGTTCAGAACGCCACGCATGCGCAAACATACGCTGATCTTATTTTTTAAGTCGTAAGTATTTTACGAATATTTAGTTTCTTTGAAGTATCTATTTTCTGGAAAAAAATAAATATTATCTTTACACTCCCAATTGAACTTTTCTCTACTTCTTCTCTCTCCCCCAGCATGGTCATCACGCTCTGCTACGATGCCGTTTCACGTAATGTCGAAGGCATGGGCATCTCACCATTCATCATGTTCTCGCTGAGCGCCATTGCCGTACTACCTTCGAGTATTATCGTCATACTGCTGCAGGATCGTATCGGACGCAAAGGTATGGCGGCTGGTTCATTGCTTGTCGGCGGCTTATTCACCACCATGGCAGGCATAGCGATCGCCTATCAGCAACACAATCACAATGCGGTGCTGCTGGCGTGCCTAACGATAGCGGCACGTTTCGGTGTAGCGATCTCATACGAGTCAGGATCACAATATGCTACCGAGCTAATACCGACCTGCGTGCGTGGTCAAGGTGTGGCAGCGGTGCATGTGGCTGGATTTGCGGCATCCTTTTTGGCGCCATACATCCTATGGTTGGGTACATTCTTCAAAGCGGCGCCTTCGATAATTTTGGGTGTACTCTTCTTCACCGGCTCCTTTGTGTGCTTGCTCTTGCCCGAAACGCTGAATAGGTGAGTGCGAAAGTGAACGCGAGTGTATGTGAAATGTGAAATTCATAAATATTTGCGCTTTTATTTTACAGAACGCTGCCAAAGACCGTCGAGGAGGGTGAGGTATTCGGCAAAGGTGAACGCATGTTCGATTTCCCATGTCTTTCGCAAAAGGGCGCACAATCAGAGGAGGAGGAGGCGTACGAACGAAAGCAATCGTTAACGGTTTTCGATCGTGGCGATGATTCGGCCGATGAGAACCTCAACAGTGCGGCGTAAAAGAGTGTGTGTGTACGCAATAGGAATGTATTTGCCGTTAGCTTCCGTAGATGTTAAGCGTAAAGGCCCGTTTACATAGAACTTTGGCGTTGCGTTGGCGTTGGCGTCGCTTCAACAGCTGACTATGAATACATGAATTCAAATGCAGCCGTCCACATAGCCAAAATTCGACAACGCTCACGCCAACACAAAGCAAAAAGATGGCCAACTCTCAACTTTTCGCGTGCGTCGCTCGTCAGCTGTTGCGAATAAATAAAATTATGTGAAATATTTTTCCTTTTTAATCAAGTGCGGGCAAGAAATATCGTTTTTAATGCAATTATTGATATGAAATATTAATTTATCTGTCGTTAATATGTTAATTTAGTGGCCCAAGGATTCGCCGCCAAGCGTTCATTGTAGCAAGCATACTTTTAACGTGCGTTCTGTCAAACCAACGCCAACGCCAACGCAACGCCAAAGTTGTATGTAAACGGGCCTTAAATATTACAAAAAAAAAAAAAATTTATGAATATTAACCTGCACATAAACGTCAAACACAAAATTAATATTTTTTCTTAGTAATTTAATTTCATTAGTAAACGTCATTAGTTTTTAAGTACTTACCAGTAATAATTTAGATCTTAAGTACTTAGTGACAGAAGCCTTATTTATAAGATACAATAGTTCGAAAACGCATATGAAAACTGGAATATCAAAAAAATGCTAAATTATTGAAAATATTTGCTTGAATGCAATTTTTTTTATAAAAGTTTGTATATTAAAATAATATTTTTGCATTCATTGTAAAAACAATTAACAGTGTTTAGGGAAGCAAAGCATGCAAGTATCCAATGTAAATACATATAAATAGAAAAAATATATTCTTATACTAAAGACACATATACACCTACATATGTATATGGAAAATGATTGCTAGTGCTATTACAAATGTATAAACGCAAATCGCTATACACAAATACATACGTAGGTAAAGATAAACATAATATGTTATGAGCAAATTTCACGAGCTTTTAAATTTTTCGACAGAAACGCGTTTTTGGTCGAAAATGGTGGCACACTTATCTTAGATAATGCATTGTTCTCAGTTTTGCATAAAGAACAAGATTTCATCGCAAAATTGTATTCAAATGAAAACTTAAAAAAGTTATACTAAAAAAGTCAAAATAACAATTCGTGCTCATATACGTGCATTTAACGTATACGCCCCGTAGCACCATTCACAGTCAGAAAACACATTTACTCGCACGCCTTCACTTACAAGTTATATTATTTAAAAAAATTTCAGAATGTGTCGTTAAAAATTGTAAAATTGGAAGTTTTGTTACGTCATTGTATGATCAATGTAATTTTTTTCAGCTGGTGGCACACTAGTTTTATTACTCTAGAGTGGTTTTGTTCTAGCAAGCAGAATATTTTCACCATTTATTGTTGCAATTTTGAAGTTGCTTAAATTCTTAAAATAAAAAATTATAAAATAGCTGCGACAGATATTCCGCATGCTGCAATTTTTTTCAATATGGTGGCACACTCTTGAAACTTTATATATATGCTGTATTTTATGCAAAATTTCATAGCCTCTAATATGAGCATTCTATTTGAAAACTTCCCAAAGTTATAAAAAAAAAACACAATTTAGATTTTTTGTAGTGACAAAAACAAATTGTAATTTCGGTACTTTTTCGTCAAATAAACGTTTAAATACTTGATTTCTTTTTTATTGCACTTATTTCTGGAACTCCAATGATTGGAATAAATGAAAGAAGAATGCTATAGCATTTTTTTATGGCGAGAGAAGGGATCGACACTTAAAAAAAAACTTGTGAGATTTGCTCATATACAAACCTTTCTACATATGTATATGATAGTAAAAAAAAAATATTAACCACCCTTAGCATTGGGCACACTTTTACTTAAGCCAGGCTTTAAGCGAGTACTGATAGCTATGCCGATTTACAAAATAATAAAAAATAAATACATACATACATACATATTTGAAATTTTTGGAAAATTTATTAAAACACGTTAAATTTCCAAACCTTAATCTAACCTAAAAAAAAAAAACCGAAAATTGTAAAACTATACAAAGCTCGTTTGCTGGAGGAAGTTTCCAGTTAAAGAAAATAGTCTTAGTAGAAAAATGTAATGCAAAGTTTTTTTTAAGCTAAATATGCAAATATATATATATATATATATATATATATATATATAAAAAATGTCGTCCAATAAGCACCTGAGCATTTGAGGCTACGACATGATTTTTAATCTCACTGCGTGAAATCCAATGACGTCTCACGATAATTGAAAGTTGCGGCTTCCCTTGAAAAAGAGTTGCGGATATTCTTTGACCACTTGCGATCCAAAGCTCGGCCAGAAATACCTAGCAGGACAAGTACAGGTTCGCTGAGCTCGGTCCAATAGTAGCCCACATGTAGTTAAAAATACGCACGCTCTCTTCTTTTTTTCTCGTGAGGACCGACTCGTTTGTTTCCCGCCAGGTCAGCTGATTTTTGAAGCCTATAATAGTTCGAAAAGACAAAACTCAGACGAGTGTGCCTTGCCCGCCCAGCTAATTTGCTATGCAGTTAACGGCAGTGCCACTATGGCTTGACGCTTTTGATAATTCGAGTAGAAATATTCAGACACCACTAAATTAGGGCAAGGTATTCTTCCAGCGCACCGTGAGTGAGCGAACTCAAAGCCTTGATGGCCTCTTAGCTATCCTAGTAAATAATTACCCTTACTGTCAACGTCGATCAAATCAGCAGCCAATGTTTGCGCCCTACTACCTCTGCCTAAAAAAAAATTGAAGCATATACTCAAGTTTGATGGAGAGTTCTATGAAAGTGACACCACTGTCGACTCTTCCGTTAAGCTTCGAAATAGCCGTGTAAAAATTCATAGTTGCCTACTTCCAACTACTACCTTCCGTTCACTTGTACGAGCGGATACGAGTGGAGCAAGAACTAATTGCTGCTAGCCTAGTTTAGGATAAATTAAGTCTTGTGTCAGTTAAAAATCTGGTCCCCTAAGACTGGAACGTTAGCTGGAAGAAGGTTCTTGCTATGACAGCCTTGCCTGCGATACCGACGGGCGTTAAGTTATACATGACGATAAGAACCAGAAGTTGATCGATTCTAAATGAACCACTCCCGACGAGAACCCTATAAACCTTGTGAGTTTCACTACCATATTGTTGTGCTAAAAAATTAACCATCCCTTACCAATCGCCTCTTTTCGTAATGTTGCGCTTTAATAAAACCAAAATTCTCAACTCTATTGGAAAGCGCCAGAAGTGCGTCTAAAATTGATCGAGGAGTCGCTTACTTACACGAGACAAGTTACTAGGATTAAAAGTGAGTCCACTGTTCAAAAAAGCCAACCTAATTCGAAAGTCGTTTACAGCTATAATCTCTACGCTCGGAAGCATTGCGCTTCATAAAAAGGAAATTAATTTCTTTTTGCAAATTTACTCATTTCCACTCCGATAAGCAACTACAACTATAAAAAAATCCTTCCGGATTAAATTTTGTGATTGTATTGAGCTAATCTTTAACTTATTATTATTGTGTTCAGCAGACGTAACTGACTAAACACTTTTAAGTATTTTTTGCAAACATTTTATTTTATGTAATAAAAAGTTCTTCCTGCAAACGAGTTACCCATATATACCACTTTTTTTTTAAATATTTTGAATATATTTGTAATGCCAGATTTCCACTAGGTAGTGAAATGACAAAAAAATGTGTGCCATTTAAAAAATACCATGTGGAAATAAACTTAATGCTTTTTTATTATTAACGCGTCGGTAGTTCGTCACTAAAAATACCGGTGCCATATGTTATTTAATTGCTTGTCATCTAAGCGATGAGTGGAAATGCGGCATAATATTTATGCTCATAGTACATACATATGTGCATGTATGTATGTATGTATGTAATGTAACAGCGAAAATTATGAATCTACATTACATAATTTGTAAAAAAAAAAAAAATTATTAAAATAATAATCTACAGTAATTATACAATTTTATAAATGCAAAAATTATAAAATTTAAAATCTTACACAAAATAGTGTATTTCATTATATTTAGTTTTTTGTTTCGGCAATTATAGTGTATACAAACTAATTAAATATATGTAAGTCCTTACTAGTTAATCTAATTAATCAACTTCTAAACAACGTTTTTTCTTCCTTTTTCCCTTTTATATTTACGTAGCATAAATGTATGTATGTATACATATGTAATTTTAGACCATTTAAGTATGTTTGTAAAAGGATTTTTTTAAACAAAGGAAATACACAAAAAAAAATGAAATTTATAAAAGCATAAAGGTCTCAATATAGTAAAAGAAGTGACTACTTTTCATGCTGTTAATATTTTAATTTTAGATGGTTAGATATGTACAATATGTACATATGTGAAGTGTGGGCATTGGACAGTGGTGTCTGGTGGTGGTCTGTTGAATTTTCTTACGAATACCAGTTTCCACAAGCTGTGTACCTCAAGCCAATCATATTTCATTTCATACTTATTTAACTACGTGCGTTAGGGATCCAATTTCACATCGCTAATAAAAATGTATGTATGTACGTTAATTTTTTCGATAGGTGGCAACTCTATTAAAATTATTCGCGAAAGTATGTAGTCTCAGTTATACAAACCTACACATATAAACATACATATGTATGTAGCTTTCCGCAGTTATTTCCTTCCGCCCTCACTACTCTCACTACCCAGTCGAGTGTCATTTTTATTTAAAAATCAAAACTCAACATAACTGAGTCTTTACACTATGGTTTTACCGATCATTTTATACCCAGTGCCATTTTCTCAAGTCGGTCTTTACCTTTTTCTGGTCTTAAAACACATTTTTTTTAGGACCAAATTTGTGCTTATAAGGCAGACCAATCCCAAACCTACTTCAGAGAACGGCCCTTAGCCTTCACACTTTACATAGTCACGAAAAATTCAAAATAGTTCCGAAAATGTTGAAATAGTCCCGAAAACTCCGAAATAGTCGAGAATCCTTAAAATCCCCCTTAAAATCCTGAAGTAGTTCCGAAAATCCCGACATAGCCCCGAAAATCTCGATAGGCTCTCCAACGATAGTCCCAAAAATCCTGAAATTGTCTTGAAAATGCATAAATAGTCTCGAGAATACCGAAAATCCCGAAATCGTATTGGATATTTATCCTTATGCTATTTCGAAAATCCTTAATTAGTCGCGATAATGTAGAAGAAGTCCCAAAAACCCGAAAACCCCGAATTTATTTTTTCCCACTGAGCTACGGTTGCCAGACGTACTGATTTTATGAGTACAGTACTTATACTGATTTTATTCATTTCCTCAATCAGTACGCTAATGTCCAAATTTTTTGAAATTTTTTCATACTGAATTTCCAATTCTGAGCATACAAATTTGTAATAGGAGCCTTCCCACCGAACTTGGTACTCGGCAGCGCGATGTTCGGTAATTTTTCCCCAAGTATTTTGTTTGTGTAATATTATTTATATGGCTTCTAATTAAAATGTTTGAAAGACAACTCTCAAAAAAAAATAGTTTCAATATGAAATGTTAACAATTCTTTAATCTCATTACTGCTATTCAAAAATGTCATAAATATTAAATAATTTATTGGCTCCTGTGTACAATGATATTATAGGGCATTTTTTTATACTATTTACACTAGCAAATTCCTGGCGTGTTATTTGCTACATACATATTAAATTTATTTTAGCCTTTTAATTGAATAAAATTTTTCAAACAGGAGGCAACCGGCCTCAAAAATATTTTTGGTCGTAAAATTTGCTAAACCTCTTCAGTTTGGTAGCCATATTGCTAAATTTCGATTTATTTTATCAATTAAATTAGATTAAGATTTTCAAAAAGGTGGCAACCTTAAACAAATATAATTTCGGTTGTAAGCCTTCTTAAACCGCTTTCTTTAGACAGCCATATTGCAATATTTACTTTATCTTATCAATTTATTTAAACTGCAATTTTCAAACAGGTGGCAACTCGCTGATTTTTTTCCTCTCTATATTTTAAATTAGACATCTAGCAGTAAATCGGTGAAAACTTAATTCAATTCCATGCATTAGTTTTCGGGTCATGTGCGTACAAACATACAAACAGACAAACATAAATACATACTTTCTAAAAATTGTTGACTTGGCTTCTGTTGCTCTAATAAAGACAATTTAAGCATTTAGTAAATGCAAGTTTGCCCAGCACTCTTCTAGACTAATATTTAAATATGTATGTAATTGATGAGATCTCACATCGACGATTAATTGAACATTAATATTACCAAGAAGGCAGAAGCCCATGTCTACACTTTAATCATAATTCGCTTTTAAGCGAGTTTGTAAAATTTGCCATCTCTTTTATTTGCTATTTTCTTCAGTGAGGAGAAAACAGCACAACCGAAGTAGCTGAGTCCTGATCTGCTGAAAGTGTGCCTTTGAAGTTTTTTTTTCGCCCTTTACTAAATATTCATCCTTCAATCTGTATCAGGCTCTAACATGATTGCCTGAGAATGGTGTAAAGCAGTGTCCCGTAAGTACTTAAACCAGTATCACGATATAGACCTTGGAAGCATTAGTAAGTAAGGGCGAATTATTGCCTTGCTTGTCCCCTAAGATTCTCAGAATTTGGTTGAAGAACGCCGTATTTAGGAATTAGGTTCAAATTCTGAAATAGGGCGTTCTTCAATCAAATTCTGAGGTAGAGCGTTCTTAAAAATTTTTTTTGAGATAGAGCGTTTTCGAACTGGTAGCCCAGATAGGTCGATCTTCCACTCAGGTGAAGATATATTACGTGTAATTTGTTTCCATAAATCTCAGCATGCATAGCTTCAGCCAGTTTCACAAAAGCGATGTAAGTGAAAAAATTTTATTTTATTTTAATTTATTATGAAGACTGATGGAAGGGAAAAAATAATTGTTCACGTAAATTGCTGGTGAACCGGCAGCCAGCTAGACTCAGCCATAATACGAGATTTTAAATTTTTTTTTATTTAACTGTCTTCAACATATTTTCAACTAAAACCTTCTAAAACCATTTTTCTCTGTCAACCTTTTTGTGCCACATATTTGAACTACATAACTGATTCCCTTTAATTTAAGTGGAATTTGATTATTTTCTTGCCTGATAAGTCAAACCATAAAAACGCATAATTTTTAAGCAATATTTACTTAATAAAATTTTTTACTAATGGTTTTTATTCTTTGAATTTATTATACATAAATATGTATTTATGTACTATGTATGTATGTCTATAAAATCATTGAATACTCAATCTCACAAAAAAATACTTACAAATCATTCATTCGCTAAAAAATACTAGATTTGCTAAAACATACTTCCTAAACATTTTTGCATAAGTTAACAATGTAAAAATAACAACTACAACAAATCAGATACGCATACAACATTCTAACACAAATTTCACTAATTTGAACGTTACAGAATTCCTCGGCAGCACACTGTTTTAAAATCTGTCCGTGATCTCAGGTTTTTTGGTATCCTTTTTTTTATCGAAGCATGGAAAGTAGTACCAGCGTTGATGACGCGCGAACTCCTCGCCATCTTTCAATGTCTGTGGCAATTTTCTGTAGAAGACGAAAGAAATTGTGACTAATGCGCATTTAAAACAAATTGAAACTTTATATGATGCTTACTGATTCATGGTCTCCGGCAATGCGAGACATAGAAGAGCGCCCATGAACACAATGACAGACATGCAAATCGATGGCAGCGGTTTGTAGAAGTACCCTAAATATATCACATAAGAGTTGAGTGCAGCCGCGGCAAAACCTGCAACATGAACATTGGCCATGCCTCGACCGCGAACAGTGGTCGGTATGAATTCCGAAATATATTGCGCTTCTGCCTCATAGCTCGCCACAACGCCTAACCGACTCAGACCAACCATAATAGCAAAAAGTGTAGCATTTTGCTCGGTATCAAGAAAAGCAATCATAAAAGCATTAGTGGCAATAATAATCCCACTAACAGAGAGTGTACTAAAGGCCATGCCCTTGCGTCCGATGCGATTTTGTAGCAGAATGATAGTTAGACAGCCCACAATGTAGACAATGGAAGTAGCAGAGAAGAGAATGAAAGGTGAGGTGCCCATGCCTTCCATATTCCGGCTGATAACATCCAGAGCCAGCGAGATGAACATGCTGCATGTAGAAGAGTGAGAGAGAAACAGAGAGAGAGAGAGAAAATAGAAGAAATGTGAGTTAAAGAAGAACACTTTTTCCATTAGTCTATATTAACTTACCATTTTATAATCATGATTATGGTAACTTTGCGCAAACGCGGCGTACGGAACATACCCCAGAAGGTGTCCGTTCTCTTTCTCAACTTGCGTTCCTCATTTATTTTGTTTTCATGATATGTTTTGAACTCATCGAAAACCTCCTCACTCACTTCTCGTCCATTGAGCTTAGCAACACGCTTGAGACATTTAATTGCGCGATCGTAACGTTGTGTTGCAATCAACCATTGAGCGCTTTCACAAATTAATAAGGGATATGTAATCACAATCACTGCTGGCACCGAAGCAATATAAAGATAGTAACGCCACGAACCAGACCAAAGTGCAAACCAAGGTGCGAATACCAAGCCAAGGCAGTAGAATGTGCCGGTGATCATGTGCAAGCCGAGTGTGCGCTTCTGTGGGCTTAAGTATTCGAAAACTGCACAAAATTTGTGTGTTAGTATTTGTATGTAGATAAAATATTACTATTAGCTAATAATTGATTTTAGCGATAGCACATACCCATTATATACATGAGGTAGAAGAATGTGTCCGTAGATAGGCCAGAGAGGAAACGGAAGAGCGCAAACAATGGCAAATTGTTGGCGAAAGTTGTCAGAAAGTCACCTGAAGCGCCGGTAAGTGTGGTGAGTATGAGCGCCGGTAGTCGTCCGATTTTATCAGCCAACATGCCAAAGAACACAGTGCCGATGCAGGAGCCCACAAAGAATAGCGACTGTCCCACAGCAGATTTTATGGCATCCTCACATACCCAGTCGAGCTGTAATTGAGAATCAAATACAAGTTTAATGTATGGAATGAAAAACCCTTGACTTTTTAGATGCATGCAAAATAATATAAATCTAGTGGTTTTGTTTTTCCAACTGGCAAATATTAATTAGCCAATTGCATAATTTTATTTGGAAAATGAAAGACACATTAAAAAAAATTAGAACTTTTATGCAAAAAGGACACCATGGCCTACGTAAAATTCAATCATAGACGAATTTCACATGAGCTAAGTTAAATGAAAGTAAATTAAGCCGAAAAACTCAAACCAGACAGAAGGAAAAATTACATGAAAAATGGCACAACGCCGAAACCGGTTTGTCTCTAAACCAAATTTGACAAGGGATGACGGAAAATTGTTCCAAAACAAACCAGCCTTTCCATATATCTTTTGGACGGGCGAGGGAAAAATTAAAAAAAAAAAAATTAAATATACATACATCAAAATTATCAATGAAAATAAATATTTTAAACATTTTTTTTTTGAACAATATTGTACATACAAATTTTTTGATAAAAAAAAATTATTTTTGAAAATATGCCATCTCAAAAAAAACTTGCAAAAAATCACAATGGTAGCTCTCGCTTTTGCGCAATATTTAAGTATAGTATTACGGGGTGCACTCACAATAATTTCAGTTATGATTTTTTGTACACCGAAGTTGAGTAAAATAAGTACATCACAAATTTGAATTTTTTTTTTAATTTTTTTATATAATTTTATGGAGTATGCAGCCCATTAAATTTTAGTATAGTAAAGTGCAAATTCAAAGCTACTGAAAAATTGCGATGATTTTTAATATTTTTTATGCTGACAGCTTTTTGTACTTTTTTCTTATGGAAGAAAATGCGCAAAACCATTTTCAAAGAAAATAAAAAAAGCCTGCACTTTTTCATACAAAAATTTAATGGGCTACAAAACTGCATACTCATAAAAATTCTAAAAAAAAAAATTAAAAAATGTGTAAATTTGTATGTACTCATTTCACTCAACTTCGATGTAAAAAAATTCATAACTCAAATTATTGTAGAGTGCACCCCGTAATACTCCACTTAAATATTGCGCAATGAGAGCTACCATTGAAAATTTTTTCAATTTTTTTTGAGATGGTATATTTTCAAAAACTAATTTTTTTTATAAAAAAATTTGTATGTTAAAAATTTTTCAAGAAAAAATTTCAAAAATTTTCTTTTCATAGGGAATTTTGACGGGTGTATGTGTAATTTTTTTAAATTTGTTTATGTATTACGAAACGGAAAATATTATAAGGGCATACTCACAGTGTCAAACACAAAAATAGGGTCGCAGCATTTCGATAAGTTTTTACTACTTTTCTTTTGTTAGTTTGATGTCTATTAGATAATATTGAGGTTGCTAAAAAAATTTATTAATTTTTGGATTTTTTTTGACAGTGTCACGCATTTCATTCCATATAAAAAAAATCTTCGAACAAACTTATATACTTTGAAAAAATATAGAAAATTATGACGAGCAGAAACAAAACTACTCAAAAACGGGAATATGTGATAGATTTCAGACCTTGTGTGGTAGATGTGGTATGTGGGTGCTCAAAAAAGTCGTAGATCTAACACAATGTGGTACTGCTTGGAATCTACGGTTGCCAGTCACCGAAAAGGGTTGAAGTTTTTAGGACTATACGAGTGAGGCATAACCGCCTGTCGTGAAAGAGCGAAGTACACAATATGTTTGCAACTCCTTCCAAGGACTTTGTACATGTACCATTCAGGATAGCTCATTACTCGTCTCGCATTTTTCCGCAGTCATATCTGTAGGTTTATTTTTAAGTTATTTACATATTTGGGCGCACAGTGTGTCGTGTAGAACTAGATATATAACTTGCAAACATAAGCGAAAGAAATACTCTCCCGGCGAAGCTGAGAACATAACATTAGTGCCCAAATTCAATGTCCTTCCAAAGGCTTTGAAATAGCAGGATATACCAGTCAGGATAACTCATTATTCGTCTCGCACAAGGGCATACGATCCCCTAGAGCATTGAGTAAAAAGTGTCGTTAATTTGGTAGAAATTTTGATCACATTTTGTCGTATTTCATTCAAAGTGGCTGCCAAATTGTGGACAATTGACGCTTACGACAAAATTTTTCTAAAGAAAATCATTCATAAACTCAAAACTAATTAACAATAAACATTTAAAATTAAATAATTTAAGAGTTTCGTTAACTAAATAGGAACATTTCCAGAGACATTGGACAAATCTATCTTCGCGTTTTTGAGAAATTGCATACCAAACTTCAATCGCGATTCCACCACAACCTGCCGAAATTAACATACGACAATCTTTTACCCAGGCGACGATATCTAGTTAACTTAAAAACCAAAAACGTTGCATACATTTGTGAGTTATCTGACACCTGAGTTATCTGATTGCGCGCGCAACGATTACATGTGTATAGCTAAAAGTGATAATGATATTTTTTAAATTATTATCTAATTAAAAAAAAAATGCTTTTTTCTTGTAGCACATGATAAATGCTAGGCTTTGTTATTCTCTACTAATCTAGTCAAATAAAAAACATTTACTGGAAAATTTCACGAATTTCTATACTCACATCTGAGGTAACACTCTGATATCCCATTTCATATTCATAGATCCACTTTCGGCATTGACCCACTTCAGCAACAATTGGCCTGCCATCTATTACATCATCGAGCAGAGTGCAGTGAGGACTATTTGTTTGAGCGTAGACAGCGCGAATTTCAGCAAAACTGGCATTAGCTAATTTTTCATGGTAGCACCTGAAAAATTTTTATATCGTAAGATAGTTTTAGAGGTTAGGTTAGTTTGTATGCTTCTTTTTATTATTTAGACATCTGTATTAAAAGTTAAAACAAAAAAGGAAAAGCAATTGTCCAAATATTGGGCAGTGTTGTTTTTATGTGTGTTTCGTTGTTCGTAGGAAAAGTAATGACACTTCCATATACACATATGGGGCAGATCTGCTCATGCTTTGTATTTAGTTACTAAAAAATTTTAACAAGAGAGGGTTTTCAAAGCCAGAGCTGCTTGTTTTTGAAGAGTAAGAATGCACTTCGCCTCCTAAATCTCCGCAAAACTCAATCAAAACGAAAAAAAAATTAAATAAATGTTTTAACTGACTGTCAGATAAACACCTCTGTTTATTGTTTGGGTCTGCGATGTATGTACGTTTTTTTTTTGTTTTGAAAAATTATAAAAATTAAATTACCATGCTCTAAAGTCTATTATTGGTCAATAAAAAGTTCATTAAAAGAATTGGGTAATGTTCATACATAATTCAATTATTGAGTAATCAAAGTCAATTTTCATAAGCCTATGTTCGAAAATATGTAGTTATGCACATTAGGGTGGTCCTTAAAAACGTTCAAAATATTAATCTTTCTCTCCCTATGATTTTTCTAAACGGGCAAAAGAATACAAGTATTTTTTTATTAAAAAAAATATATTTAGAACTGCCTCAAAGCCCATGAAATTTTCGATGTATTTTATTTAAGAAAAACACTTTTTATTATAAATGGTAAATAAAAAAGTATGGGTGTTCTCTTTTTCCATTTAGAAAAATTGTAGGGGGTGAGAGCTTAACAGTTTATATTTTATTTATAGAAAAAAAAATATTAAAAATTCGTTTGTTAATTATTCTGTCTTTTTGAAGAAAATTTTAATTTATGTATATACTTAAAATATATTTCATTTAAATTTTCGAAACATATACATATATTTTTTAAATTCATTTTCAAACAATAAAAGTCTAACTTTAATAAACAAAAGTTTTAATTGATAAAAAGATATACAATTTAATGAAGATCAATTGAACATATACGAATTGAAGACTGATAAAAAAATTTCGAAACAAAAAGTTCTAATTCAAAAAAAGGGCTACAGTTAAATTAAAGAAATTAACACCTTCAAATTGCAGTAATAATAATTTATTTTTCTGAAATAAATTTTTAAAGTAAATTCCTAAAGTTATCCCTCTTTTGTTGGAAAATAAATTTGACTTCGAATCATTATTTTTTTTTTTCATTTTAAACTTTACGTTTCTAATTTTTTTAAAATAAATTTTTTAAATAAATATCCAAAGTAAAACTTTCATTACTTGAAGATAAAACCTATTTAAATGTTTTTTCACTTGAATATGTTTGTTTCAAAAATGTATTTTGTTTTTTAAATTCTAAAATAATTTTTTTTTGCAAATTATAATTATTAAAGTTATCCTTAATTGTTTAAAAATAAATTTCAATTGAAAGGCGTTAAATACTTTTTAATTAAATTTAAAATGTTTTTTGATTTAAGACTTTTTCTGTCGATTTTTTTTTTCGCTAAAATAAATTACCAAAGTTAAACTTGCATTGTTGGAAGATAAACTGCTACTGTAAATATTTGACATTTAATATTTGAAAGCTAAATATGTTTTACTTTTTTATTTTGAATATATTTAAATTTTATGATAAATTTTTTAATTTTGTTTAAAAGAGTTTTTGTATTTATAATACTTTTTTTACGTAAATTAATAATAATGAGAATAAATTTCACTTTCAAGATGTTAAATTCTCATTATTTTTTTTATTTAGAACTTTTTGTTTCGATATTTTTTGTTTCTTAAATTAATTTCCTGAGCAAATTATCAAAGGTAAACTTCATCCCTTTTCTCATTTTAATTAGCCTTTTAATATTTTCCTATTGTAGTGCTCTTTGCTAGACCGAATTTCGAATCTTTTTTGATATATATTTTTTCGCGTTTGACTTTATTTAACATTTTTAAGTTAAAAAAATAGCAAAATTTCTTTTTGTATTTTTTATTTTAACCCTGCCTTTATCTACTTAGTTATTTCACTAATTTTTGCAAAGCCATTTTTCTAGCCACATGTCTCCGTTTTTTGTTTTCAAAACCCTTCCACCAAATCTTCTTTATCTCATTCATCACACTGCTTTCAACTCACCAATGATCCGGTGTAAAACTGATTATTGTTTGTGCAAAATAGTGCATCGATGAGAGGATATTTGTAAAACCAAATAATAACATTATAAGGAATTGAAAGCGGCCGAAGTTGCCACACTTCTCCAAAACGGCATCAAAATCCATCGGTGGCGTGCCCATTTTGCTATGTGGATTTGTTTTTATTTCACTGCCACAGCACTGCTATAGAATTTTGAAAATAATAGATATCTAATTATTCTTGCACTACCTTCGTATTTGCACCACTGAACAAATACTTCGCACTGCACGCAGCTGGTTAGTTCGTAAACATTTCCGGAATATTATTCAAACCCATAACGGGCCACACCAGCTTTTATACAGCCAAGGCGCTTAGATCGACTGCGAGTTAGCCAGCTGCATGACTTTTGAGGACGCTAAGTTTTATGATCGCTAGCGTGTGTACATATGGATTTAATTGTATAAATTCACATGGCTACACTCACTGTTGCTAGACGAGAGAAAAAGTGGCGTAAACAATGCTCAAATACTCCTTAGTTACATATATTTGTTTTTATTTGCTTTGCAGATCATTTAATTACTCAAAAATTTGTTTATCTAACAAAGGCTGAGATGCACTTGTTTTACTTGTACTTCGTTTATGGCTCTATTCATTGACGTTTTGTCTCCCACTGTACCCGTTCTTGATGTTGATGTTGATGCTGATGCTGATGCTGATTATCAGCTGATCGTTATCTAGCAAGACACGCTGTCGTTGGCCAAAGTCGTTCATACTAAAAATGAGCAGAAGCACCCACATTGGCATCATTATCACAAACCAAAGGGAAAACCGCGTTAGCATGTATGTGTGTATGTTTACACAAGTATTTGGCTACCACTCGAAGTTGTCAAAACACGCCACGATGCTAAACAAATTAAAAATAACCGGCAAAAAAATTAAAAATAAATGTTTCCCTTCGTTTTCCAGTTTTATTCAGTTCAGGCTTGACTATTATCGGCAATACATACATAAGTATGAACATTAGAGTGGTCCAAGTTTTGTATGGGGTGAAAAAAATGTCATCGTAGTTAAATTTTTCCTTTTGGTATTTGTAGTATATATCTATAGTATACCAACTTTTATTTTTTTTACAGTAACCAATGCAAGGTGCTCAATGATCTTGAAATGCGCTACTGACTTCTTTTAAAATTGAGAAAAATATTCATGATTTTTGTAAAAGGCTACTGTTGCCATGACAACTGAAACTTGTGGTACTTTTTCGGCTAGTTTAAATTTGAAATGAATTTAGGTTGCTTAACCAATTGTTTGGTTAACATGTGTACTATAACTTCCAGAGTAAAACATAAACATTTCATGAGCATCATCTAAAATTATGCTTGGTGCGCCAACACCTCTTTTGGCAAGAGGAAATATTTTGGAAGGTGCACCGAACCCTATCTCGGATTTTTTTGACCACCCTAATGTACATATGCATGTGAAAAAGTATAGTTGGAAATTTAAAAAAAAATATACCCCTAGTTTTCTATTTTGAAATAAAAAAATTAGGTAGTGCTCAGAAGCGCTCAAAGTTTTCCATGTATTTTATATGGGGAAAACACCACTTTTTGTAGGGTATATTTTTTTTTTGGTATAGAACCTTCCTAGGGGGTGGCGGCATTAAAATTCCGACTTTACTGTTTTGGGCCACTCTAATGTACATACATATATATATATGTAAATCTACAGATAGATACATAAAAATTTAGCTTCCATATTTGCGAGCATTGCTCTTTCTTAAGTGAAAGTATAGATATATATATATTTTTATATGTATGTATGTATGTATGCTTATTTGGTAAACTGCGTGTGACCGAAAATGTCTGGCACAAACAATATGTCGGCGCGGATAAACAACAGTGGAAATATTCCTAAGCTTCATAAATGTACCGCGTGATATATGTAGGTCTTCTTCTTGTTTAGCGCTGTAACCGTCTAAGCGATTCTTGCCGAGGTCAACAACGGATGCTAGTATTTTCTCTTCTGTGTTAACTGATACCAATTAGCAATGCCAAGTGTATCCAAATCCTTCTCCACTTGTCATTTCTATCGCAGAGGAGGCCTTCCTCTTCCTCTGTTACCAGTATCGCTAGCCGCGTCCATTCGGACGGCATGACCAAGGTAGCGGAGGCGCTGTATTTTAATTCGCTGCAATATGTCAATTTCGTTGTAAAGCATAAAGACCCGTAAATCTTTCCGCAAAATCTTTCTCTCGAATACTTCAAGGGCCGCCTTATTGGGTGTTTTCCATGCTTCTGCCCCATATACCAGCACGAACATGATGAAAGACTAAAATAGTTTGGTTTTCGAACGTCGTGAGAGGACTTAACATTTCAATTACCTACTCAGTAAAAAAACGAAGCACTTGCTGGCAAGATTGATTATTCGTTTTTCGAAATTATAACTATCAACAGAGATGAGGGTGCCGAGTCCCGAATGCGCTTATTGATTTTGTGATGACAGAAGATACTTTGTCTTGTCCTCGTTTACCACCACACCCATTCGCTTGGTTTCCTTATCCAACTTGGAAAAGGCAGAACAGACTTTGCAGTCGCCCTATTTGAAACCTCGTTTGGTAGCAAACGGCTCGGAGAGGTCTTTCCCAATTCTGACGGAGCTGGTGGTGTTGTTGAACGTCATTTTATACAGCCGTATCAGTTTTGCGGTCAGGACAAATTAAGACGTCTCGACATATAAGCAACTCCTTTTAGTGCAGTCAAAAGCGGCTTTGAAGTCGACAAATAGGTAGTGAGTGTCGATCCTTTTCTCGCGGATCTTTTCCACGATTTGGCGTATTGTGATTACCTGGTTGATGGTGGATTTGCCAGGTGTGAAACCACATTGCTAAGGCCCCATCAGTTCGTTGGCGGTTGGTTTCAGTCTTTCACACAATACATTCGATAAGACCTTGTAACCTATGCTTAGAAGGCTCACCCCGCGGTAGTTAGCGCGAATGGCGGGGTCACCTTTCTTGTGGATTGAGCAGAGCATACTTAAGTTCCAGTTGTCGGGCATACATTCGTCTGTCAATTTTCTTTATAAGAGTTGATGCATGCACCTTATCAACTCCTCCCAGCTGGAAGGCCGTCAGATGCAGCAGTTTTGTTGTTTTTTTTTTTCAGCGAAACCGCTATATATGTAAATAATCTTAGTCGAGAGGAGGTACATCGACATAGCGTAAGATAGCACTAAGTATAAATATACGTCCAGGGGCCACAATAACAGGGTGCATTAAAATTCATTGTCAAATTAGAAATTTATGTTATTGCAAAATTACAAAAAGGAAATGACTTTTTACTCGCATAAAAATAAATTTGTATTTATTTTATTTTTACAAGCTTTTGTTTAACTTGCTGTGTATGTACATATATCTGTTTGTTGGGGTCAAACCTGACAACCTGGTTTTGGCAAACTTCCCGATGGGAAAGAGACTACAATATACTTCAAAAACCTGTATCTATGATCTGATTTAGTTTAAATTAATTTGTATATTACTTACATGTAGTCGAAACCCCGTATTTATGGTTGGTTGGTAGAAAGCTTGTTAAAAATTTTATTTTTTATTGTTTTGTAATAATGACTCAAGCATATATGTTTTTCCTTATACATACAAAACCCAGATCCATAAAGAGCGCCAATGCCTGTTCAGTAGTGTACTGCCTAGGCAATGCATTTGGTGGTGTAGGAATATTATTTTTTTACTCATGAGTCGCACTGGACTTGCTAACGCAAATGATGTATTAAGTATATGAGTTTAAATATTTGCTTCGTTTTTTTAAACATACTTAATAAATAGATAATATGTCCGAAAGATGTCCGTGGTGATGCTGTCAGTAGCATATGCCAGCTTGCTTTTTCTTATGAAGATCGAGCGTTGATCTACAGGTTTTGTTGATCTCTCTCTAGTTCAATTACTTGACATACGAAACTAATATTCGCTAGACAGTTTTCATTCGTAGTTACAAAATCAATCGTACAACCAATTACGGCTTGCCATTGTACTATGGTTTAAGGGCTCTCCAGAACCTTGCGGGGAAGGTGCCTCTGCCCGGCTGGTTGATCTCCTCGGAAAGGCAAATGCAGCTGCCACATAAATTCGGTGTTGGATTTGTGTTAGGATGGAGACTCCGTTGCCGAGAATTTTCGTTCAACCCGGTGGACGAGCATCTTCAACATTTCGCTCATTTGCGCCCACGTTCCGACGGAAGAGCAGGACTATGAACCCAAAGATATCTTCTATAAGCGCCACCCCCATCAAAATCGTGCTTAGCGATTTGAATTCCAAGATATGCAAGGAAATGATCTTTTGTGCCACTGTCGGAAAATTCAGCTTCCAATTTGAAACGTCCGATAACGGTCTGAAGCTTATTGGCTTCGCCGGGTCCCGAAACATGGTAGTATGCAGTACTAGGTTCCAGCATTAAAAGATTAATCAAGCTACGTGTTTTGGACGTGCGCAAACTACGAGGGCCAATCGTTGACTCGGACTTCTATATTATTGCAGCCGAGATACACAACCGTCTCTGTGCAGCAAAAAATGGGCGTCCAACAACGCAAGGCAAGCTCAACATTGAAAAGCGCCATTCGATTCTCACATCTCGTCTCAGAGGGAACTATTCAACAAACCGACATATCCGATCTGTGGAACAACATTTTCCACTCATAACATTTGATTTCGAAACCAGAGCGCACTCCTGTAAGAACAGCCATTGCGACCTAGCAGAGCTGTGAAAAATGCATTAATTTTTGTAATGCATTAATGGTATTTAAAGCAATAATGTTAATGTGAAAAATTAATGTATTAAATTATGAAATTTAATGCAAATGAATATTTCAATGCATTAATTCTGAAAAATGTAATGCTAATGAAATTTTTTTTCCATTAAATTATCCAAACTAATGCTAATGAAACAATTGTAATGCACTAAAATGTTTAATACTTTTGCTCGTTTGCATTATTAAAAACCATTAATTTTTTTGCTGGTGATTTATAAATAACCCCTTTTGGAAAGACTTGGAATAATTACTAATAATTTTTTCAGCTTCATTATATTATGTGTATTTGTAGAAAAATTCTTCTAAACATTGTTAGATATTTTATGAAAATAAAAGCCAGTGTGCATGCAACTCAGAGTACTTTTGTAGACTTTTATGTTGATTGTTGATGCATACCGATTACATATATTATAAGCCAAAAACGGACAGATAGCCAATTTCGCAGCGCATGTACACGACTGAGGACCTACTCTGACCTAAATTAATCAATAAGACGGTTTTTAGTACCATTTGACAATATGTTTTTACATATTTAACGGCAAATGCCATTGAACTTGACATAGTGAAAGCCAGCCTTAATGTCCGTCACTATAATTTTTGACCTTAAAATTTTACCCTCACCGTCAGCAAAGAATTTTTACTTCAAAATAAAAGTAGTTAATGGGTGTTTAATGCTTGTTATAATTTCAATGCAATAAATTATTGCAATAGCATTCATTTAAACATTTTAATGTTAATACAAAAAAAATCATTAGCATTATTTCTTTGGAATTAATGCATTGAAATTTTCATTTACATTAAATATCAAAAATTAATGCATTAATTTTTTCCATTTACATTAAAATGCTATGCATGAAAAAATTTAATGCATTTTTCACAACTCTGCGACCAAGTGTGCATACTTAAACTATGGATGGTACCCTTTTCTAGGGCATTCGCTCGAGACGATTTTACAGGCAACAAAAGTTGAATGAGAAGTTGAAAATGAAAAAGTTGCTAAATATCCCTATTCAGACGAGGCGATTTTCGATTCAACACGAATTCTTATTTACATTATTTAAAATGAATTTAAATCTCAAAATTTTATCAATTGGCGTAAATTTGGTAAGCCAAGCGTTGGTAGAAGTGCTTTTAGCGAAGCTGAAAGATAAAATTAAAGTAAAAAAGTAAAAAAGAAAAAGGTATGTATACAGAATGTAAACAAACACAGGGTTGCAAGGAAAAAAAGTTGAACGAGCGCAAAGTTGGCTGGCGACCAAATTTGTTGAAAGCGATTAGTTGAAAGGCCGTTCGGACGGGGCGATTTTTGCTTTCAACTAAAAGTTGCCTGAAAAATCGCCTCGTGCGAAAGCTCTATTCCACCCTATTAAGTGAGTGGTAGCAGCACTGAAATTTGTGGAGCAGACTAACCCAAACCCACAGCCGATGATGCTGAATCGATGTCCCATCGCCTGACTATGATGAGGTACGAATAGCAATTACGCGGCTGAAATCTAACAAAGCTGCTGAAGCTGACGGCCTGCCAGCTGAGCTATTAAGGTACGGCGGCGTGGAGTTAATAAGATACACGCATTAAATATTGTACAGAATATAGCCAGATGAACGAAAGTATATCTGACAACTGGAATTTAAGAAAAGCGACGCCGCCATACGAGGAAGGCGGTCTTATCGGTAGCATTGTGCAAAAGATTGAAGCCGAGTGAACGAACCGATTTTGCCTTACCAATCAAACCTTTCCAAAAACTAAAAACCATTCAGGCATTCATCATGCACGAAAAGGAGTTGCCTATACGTCGCTATGTCTGAATTTGGTATTCCCGCGAAACTGTCTATGTAAAATAACGTTGAGCAATACCACCAGCTCCATCAGAACTTGGAGGACCTCTTCAAGCCCACTAATACCAAACATGATTTCATAAAGGTGCGTGTTTTCTTTAATCTGATGTTGGATAAGAGCTGCAGAACTGCACCGCTCGGGAAATTTTTTTTTGACCAATTAGAAACACTATTTTCATTGTCGATTGTATCGGCTCACTTACTGTTGGCAAAAGCTTTCTGGATACTAATATAGCCAAGTCATCAGCGTAGACAACTACCTTCGTTCTCCTTACGTTAAAGCTTTCTAATAGTTCATTTATAACCAAGGTACAAATAACGGGCGATACCACCTCTCCCTGTGGAGTGTATCTTCTTAATTTTATCACGAAGCTTGTGCCTGCAGCTGCGCCAATAACTCTGTTTTTGAGCATCGACTCGATTCATGCTACGACAAACTGCTGGATATAGTTGTTGCTTCAGATTTCGTGTAGCTCCCCGATCACAAAATGTTCGGTCCTGTCAGAGCCCTCCTTGTCTGACAACAGAATTATTCGGTTTACGATAGGGCTAAGGAAGGTCTCCTGAAGGGAAACCCCGCAAAGACAAACTGTGAAAAATACAAAAATTTTCTTCGAATCAATCTGACAAGGCAAAAAAATAGGAACGGAACAGCTGACCGTATGAATGTGCCAAAGTGAATATGTGTAAGGGTATTATAATGTACGTAACTCCAGTTTTCCCGAAATTAAACCAATCGGTAAGGGCAAAACCGTCTGGTGATTGTGGCAACCCTTGGCGCTAAGAAAAAGGATGCATAGGCTCATCACTAAGGTCAAACGCACAGGACAATGGGACGAGCACTCGGCTTGTCTGGCAGAGTACAATAAGAAGATTAGAAAGGCCAAAATAAACAGTTTTAGAACGTTCTGAGAGGGTCGTCCATCTACCTCTGAAGTAACTAGACAAGTGATTGAGACACAAAGCGGTTCTTATACAGTGCGAGAAGAGGGAAGGGCCTTTGCCTTGTTTTCTGCTCATTTTCCGGATGCCACGCCCGTTGAGAAGGGGCTGAGATTCGAGAGCACAGACCTTCTCCAAGAGACTGGGTGGTAGCATAGGTCCTATTCACTCGGATATCGGTCTCTTTGCTGTATCTATTCTAGGGATACAAATACTATAATGCAATCGGTGTTTGAAAAGTCTTTGCGATAAGAACACTTATTGGCTTAAGTTAAATCGTTTGGTGAGAAGTGAATTAGCTTTCCCGTTTCCAGATTAATATCACACTGAGCTCCATCCAAGATTAGTGTATATACCGATCTTGCAAGCATCTTGTAAACAAGCTCGATAGATGGGGTACTAAGCCCAAGTGTATGCAACATGTCTGGTATGAGACTTAAGCTAAATCCGTAATTTAAAATATTTTATTTCCATTAATTTAATATCGTTGTTAAAAAAATAAATTAATCTATTTATATTACAAAAATTTTCATCTAATGAGTATTCGAATTTTCGATAACAACCGTCTTATCTTTTCGGCTTCTATCAAAACATGGAAAATAGTACCAACGTTGATGTCTTGCAAATTCTTCGCCATCCTTTAGCGTTTCAGGTAGTTTCCTAAAAATATAATTATACTTAAAAAGTTTTAAATGAAAAAAGGTTAAGCACTATTTCACTTACTGATTTAACGTCTCCGGCAAGGCCAAACACAGCAGAGCGCCACACATCATAACCGCGGCAATGACAATCGAGGGCAGCGGCTTGTAGTAGTGACCCAAATAAATGATATACGAACTAAGCGAGGCGAAGCCATAGCCGATCACATGGATGTTAGCCAAGCCACGGCCACGCACAGTTGTTGGTATGAATTCCGCTGCATATTGCGCTTCGGCATCATAACTCACAATCACGCCATAACGACCCAAAGAAACCATGATCGCCAACAGAACAGCGTTCTGTTCACGATCGAGGAAAGCGATCAAGAAGCCAGTTATTGTAACAATAATTGCGCTAACAAAGAGCGAGCCGAAAGCCATACCCTTTCGACCAATACGATTTTGAAGTAGTATTATCGTGAAACCGCCAGGGATGTAGGCAATTGAGGTGAGCGAGAAGAGCAGAAAGGGTGATGAGCCCAAGCCTTCCATATTGCGGCTGATCACGTCGAAGGCGATGGTAATGATGACGCTGTGACATGAATATATTTAAGAAGAGCTTCTTACTTTAAAACAATTGTAAGTTGTTTTTTTTTTTTTACTTACGATTTTATCAACATTATTGTGGTAAATTTTCGCAGGCGCGGTGTGCGGAACATACCCCAGAAAGTGTCTTTATTCTTATTCAATTTGGTTTCCTCTGCCATTTTTTGCTCATAATATGTTCTGAATTGCGTGAATACCTCTTCTTCAACCACGCGACGATTAAATTTGGCCACGCGCTTCAAACAACTCACCGCGCGATCGTAGCGTTCTGTTGCTATAAGCCATTGCGCGCTCTCACAGATGAAGATCGGATAGATGAGCACAATGAGTGCAGGCAATGAAGCCACGTAGAGGTAATAACGCCAGCTGCCCACCCAAATGGCATACCAGGGTGACAGTATCAAGCCGAAGCAATAGAAAATGGCCGTTATGATGTTGAGACCGAATGTGCGCTTTTGCGGACTTAAGTACTCGAAAACTGTGTGTAAGATAAGTAAGTAAACTTATTTGTCGTACTACGTGCTTAAAAATAATATTCCACTCTACTCACCCATTATGTACATGAGATAGAAAACGGTATCCGTTGACAGTCCGGAAAAAAATCGGAATAGCGCAAAGGCTGGCAGTGCAGTGACAAAGGAAGTCAAGAAATCACCCAAAGCGCCGGTTAGTGTAGTGCAGATCAACGCTGGTAAGCGTCCAATTCTATCAGCGAGAAAGCCGAAAAATATAGTGCCAATGATGGAGCCAACAAAGAAAAACGATTGTCCCACAGCAGCTTGGAATGCATCGTCACATACCCATTTGAGCTGAAAATGTAGTGGTTATTCGGTGGACATTATTATCGATGGCATGCTATGAGCAGCGATATTAATCGCGAAAGGTCCATTCAATAACTTTTCCAGTAAGTACTTGCAGCGAGAGCGTAAAAGAGAAATAGAGAGTGTTTAAGAGAGCACGCCATTTTGACTTTTTCTGGCGGTTAAGTTTCTATTCTCTTTTGTAATTGGGAATAGTTTCCATCGTCATAAAAATGGAAAAATATGGATACATTAGATTTAAATGGTTCATCCATATTTTCATTTCACTAATTATTTTCAACCTCACTCTCATAACTCTCGGGTTGTTACGCTCTCGACTTCGCTCTCTCTCTTGCAAGTTTTTTAGGCTTTTGAATACATTTCCAGTAAAAACTTGTAAGTATTAGTAACAGTTCGTAAACTTTTTTTTTATATTGAATGTACCTGTATATTGCGCACCACTATTTATACAGGGTGGCGTTTTGTAAATTGCGTTGGTCATTTAATAAATAATTTTTAAAGCATATTTATAGGCTTTGACGTCTGTATGAGATCGTGCGAATACAATGTAGCTAATCAAATTCACTCTTCGCTTTATAAATTTGATCTTATCTTATCGTGAACAAATTTAGATAATTTTTAGTGCTTACATCTGTTGTGATGCTGCGGTAATCGCTTTCATAGTCGTATATCCATTCCCTGCAGACTCCCACCGCTGAGACCACCGGCTGATCGTCGATGATATCCTCCAGGAGGGTGCATTGCGGATTTGCTGTTTGCCCATAAATGCTACGTATGTATGATATGCTGGCATTTGCTAATTTTTCGTGATAGCACCTGCGAGTTTGGAAAACAACGAAAAAAATTGCATTTAGATAACAATTATTTTAGTTATACAAGTGCATAGTCGTAAAGTAATAGGAATGCGCAGTGTGCCAGTGATAGATAATAAATGGAGATATTCCCTCCGACTTCACCGTCCTGATGCGCTGCTTTCGGTGCACTACTGCACCTACGGTCACTTTGTGTCTTTATACGTGGGAAAGCCTTAAAAGCCAACAGCAGACTATAAGCAAACAGATGTTGGTATAGTCTCCATAGTCAGGATAGTACGTCACCATTATATTTGTTGTGGCGATTTCATAATGTTGAGTTCCCTGAGGCTGAATGCTGGTTTAATTCCAGCACTGAGACCGGACTCATACATTGCCGAATCTTCACAGATGGCTCCAATTCTCAAGGCCATGGACCTCGTGGTGGAACAAAGGTGAAAGGGAAGGAGTTTACGTGTCTGCAGTGACAAGCAAGCTGCACTTAAGGCATTGGGCAGTCCTCTAACTACTTCTAAACTAGTCTCGACGAAATTATGTTCATCAGGTCACTGACCATTTGGCCAGGGTTGGCTCAGATTACGCATTACTTGGTCCGCAACCAGTTAAAGAACTCTAACCTTCGGCCGTCGAAGCCACCCTCAAATGATGGGTGAATACTTCGCTTAGCAATGATTGGGAGGCATCGAGGGGCTGCAGGTGGCCAAAATTAATATTTCCTTCAATCTCAGAAGGCCTATTTAGTTTTTTGGTCTCATTGAGCAGACGAGACAACAGACAACTTGTTGGACTACTGACCAGTCACTTTATGTGGCACAAACACTTGACTCTGATAAGCGGACATGACAAAATCTGAGTGCTGTTTTCTGCACGCATTGTTTTGTGTCTGGTTTCGTCAAAAAAAGAGTAAAGGAAGAACCGATCCATAGTGCTCTCTACCATTTACAAAACATCATCTAGTCCTTCATTCCCCAGAAAATTTAGAATAGCTTTGGGAAATAGAGAGTGTATGTGCTCTTTCTTGGACATATTGAAGTCCTTTCACTAGACCACTAGCTTATGCAGGTTGCCTCTTAGTCTACAGCGTCTGAATACTCCAAAACCCTTGAAAGTTCCTATTTCGTCCCTGATTACATGAACCTTTGCCACTTCGAATTGGCTCCAAGTAGCTTTTTCTCTACGCCCATTCCCACAAGTAATGATTAAGTGGCTGGAGTATATCAGGCAGAATACTCGGGATTTGTGATTGGTTCGCGTCGTCGTTTGAGTAATGGTTTCCGTCTAAAATACCATGTACCGCACTTGTACCAGTGTAGGACCATCGTAATCTAACTTAATTTACCTATGCAAGTATATGTAAGGGTTTAAAACTTCAGCCTGTTATGTTAAGTTCGGTAAGCCATTAGCCAGCTAATGACTAAGTACCAGGAGCAATGTTCAAGCACATCACAGTCCTCTTGGAGAACTAGCACAGCTTGGACATCTTGCAACCTTGCATATTGGTTCACACCTTCTGGGTCAAGCATAGTTTCCGATAGAGCGCCCCTAGCAGTATGAGCAACTCTCCAGAGCTGTCCCGCACTTCGCGATTGCAGCACCTTTATAGCAGCCTGACTGTCGAGGCAGAGAATCACCAGTTTATTTGCAAGGTTGCTGCTCAATACTATAGAATTTGAAACCAAGCTGCGCGCTGACGATTGCCGCATCTACCTACTTCTTTTTCCATCTTCGATTCGGCTTTGAAGTTCTTCCCAGGTGCAGATCCGGGACTATGTCGTCAATCCGCCCGAATAAAGTTAGTGCTATATTACTGTGTCCGTAGGACCTGCGCACAATCTACGCTACTTTTCTTGGCCGATAAGTCAACTAGAAAGAGATGCAACGAGGTGTTAAGTGCTGCCGGTGGTGTACTTTGAAGTACCTTTGCAAGTAAAGCCCGTTAGTCAATGAACTGTTATAAGAATTTTCACAAAAAATTTATAGGCCAGCGTAGGCATGGTATTTAAGTAGGAGGGTCGTTTAATAAGGCAGTGACTTTTTGAACTCCACGTCGAGTAATTTTAATCGCAACACTACTCTTATAAACTAATACCATTAAATAGACTCTGGTCAAATTAGACACACTCGGGCCATGTATTTGTGCAGCCGTTATGACATAAGTTCATAAATTAAGCCGCTAACCTATTCTTCCGATTTTGAAATGAAAAGGTCAACACTGACTTATCTGCACTGCCTTCATACTTCGCACTGACATAATTTTTCAAAATCCTCTCGCTTAGTGAAATTTTCGAAGATCACTTGAGATGACCTTACTCTTATGAAAATTGGGTCTCGACCTTCATTCTTCATATGAAAGAAAATTTTTTCTACTAAATATATAACTCACCAATGCTCTGGCGTGAAACTAATTAAAGTTTGTGCAAAATAATGCATCGATGATAGAATATTCGTACAGCCATATAACAGCAACAACACGAACTGATAGCGCCCATAATTGCCGCATTTCTCCAATACTGTGTCGAAGTCCATTTTGCCAATTCTCAATTAGAGATTTTCAAATTTTATTTTACAATATTTTCGTATGCTGTGTGAGCTCCGACTATTGCGACTCTACCCATTGCCACGCCAAAACCTTTTGGTAATTGCTGCGAAGCCGGTTTTCTATTTCAATTAAAATATTCTAACTGTACTGTAAATCCTTGAATAAATAGAGCGTTTCATTGTGCCACACCGAAAATAAACGGTAGGATTTAGCGATTTGCCTTATGCGCTTTATTGCATTTTGGAATTATCTGGCTGTATAACTAAGTTGTAAGTACATTAGGGTGGAACGGAAACAAAAAAAATATTGCGTTTCGCATTCTAATAGCGGTGGATCATTCTCTTTCGACGTCAAAGGCATACTCGCAAAATTTTTAGCTATCGGTTAATATTTAGATATTTTCTGCCTAGTTCTTTTGATGGGAATTTTTAAATTAAATTCTAAACACATAACTTAATTGATCGAAATCGTCTTTAAAAAATTTTTCTATAAATGATTTTGATAAATTACGTTCATTATTTAGAATTTACAAACATTTCAAAACTTCAATGAAATCATCAACATGAAAAGGGAGAGGTAGGAAGTATTCGCCGGTTAAAAAAAACATACTTGGGATATTCTTCTGACGTCCAAAGGCGACGATCTGCCGTTCTTAAAATTTGGAAAACCAAACTTTTTTGTTTCCGTTCCACCTTAAGTGCATACATACATATGTATTTGGATTTGTGTAGGTAAATATTTGTATGCGAGTGCTTAAAAATTGCACTTTTATAATTTCAAAACAATTTCAGCTTGTTATAAATCAATTCCTTCAGAGCAATTTTTCCAGTTTCTTGAACTGTTGACGACATTTAGTGAGGTGTAACAGTGAGTAGGACGTTTTTGTTTTTTTTTGTCCAAATATGTATGTATTTATGTACATAAATAAATATTTATAGTAAATAAATATATTTAATAATCATATGATGTGACGCATTTATAGCTTCGATATGATAAATTGCAGAGTTCGACAGCTGAGCGCTGTACTCAAGCAACAAAATTAGTTATCTTCGAATTTGAAACTAGAATGACGGCAGTTGTGAAAGATATATTGAAGATACTATTGACAGCGCTAAAATATCGATAACGACAGCAATATTTATCGGTCACAAAGTCGATAACGATAAAATACGTTCATTAAAGTTAACTAAAATTTTTTGTGGCAACACTCAAATAAAAATGGAAAAGTAATTTTAACACATATGGCTTCATGTTTTTCGTTGCAAGGCCACAAAGAAACAATTGATCAGGAATGCTGGCTTTTTCCGTGAAGAGCTTACGCATGGCTATGCTCTTATTAAAATTCTTAGTATAAAATTCGTCGACTTTAGTGGCATCCTGGCGGCATATAATTTTTTTTTAAATTAATTTTAGTGGATATCAAAAATACCAAACACGTTAATATTGCAGACAACGAATTTTTTGATTTTTGTCTACTTAGGCGGCATTGTGCAACGGCACCGATAAAATATAAAGTCTAAATAAATATTAAATATTAGCTTGTTTGGTAAAGAGTGCGCAGAGACACGTGTTCAAATAAATTAGTAAGGAGCATCAATTGTGCGAATTGCTTAAAAAAGATGATAGTACTCGTATGATAAAAAGCTTATACTAGTTGTGTACTTAGGTACGTATATGCATGTATGTATATTTAGTTCTTTTGGTGAGGCTTTTTCTATTTTAATCGTTTATTAATAGAGCATATTTCCTTTATTTTCATCATAAAGACAACATACATATCTATTGTATATAAAATACGCGAAGGGATTTTTTGTGCAGCGTAAAAGATCTGTACCGTACGCCCGATTTTCAAAAATGAGATGTCAAATTAAAGCGCGTGGCCTGTAGATGTGCAAACTGGTTTTATTTTTTCGAAAGGAGTTGCCACCTGATACAAATTGCATTCAAATAATTTTCATCAATGCCATCAGATACACACCGTCGCACGGATTTTCAAAGTGAAGTACCAAATCAAAGGGCTCTAGATGTAGGTGTGCAATCAGGTTTAACATTTTCGAAAAGAGTAGCCAGTTTCTAAAAAATTAAGTTCAAATTATTTAAAAATCTAAACCAATTATTACAAAATGGGCATACATGGAAATAGTTTTGAAACTTTTTGTTTCTTAACTTAACTTTATGAGGGTCGCCACCTGTTAAAAAAAATCGAATTCAATTCGAATTAAGGGAGTTAGGTAATAGAGATATATATGGGTGCCAGACGATAAAGTTGAAGTACGTAGTAGTTTTTAAACATTTTGAAGAGGGTTGTCACCTGTTTGAAAAGTCTAATTTATATGAAGTATAAAAATATGGATGTCAAGCGAATGAATCTTAAGAGATCTTTAGTTTGAACGTTTAGAATATTTTTAAAGTGTTTGAAGAGGGCTGTCACCTGTTTAAAAATTAAATTCAAATTATTTAAATAGGTAAATCAATTATTAAATATAGGTATAAATCGAAAAGGTTTTATAACTTAACTTCGTATAGAAGGGTTGCCACATGTAAAAAAAATGTAACTCAATTTTAATTAAAGGAATTTGGTATGTGAATAAGGTATCGCTAAATGGTGTATGATACAAAAGAGTTTTAGGAAGGTAGTAGTTTGGAAATATTTTGAGTAGGGTTGCCACCTATTTGAGAAGTTTAATTGAACTATTTTATACCCAAGTTACATGAAATATTAACGATGTATGTAAAATGAAAGAGCTTCAAGAAATACATAGGTTGACAATTTAGAACATTTTTGATGTGTTTGAGGGTTGCCCAGTTTAAAGGCCTAAACTAAAATTATTTAATAACTTAAATGAATAACTAACCGATGGTGATCAATGGAAATCGGTTTAAAATCGTTTATTTAAGAACTATATTTAGGAGGGTTGCCACGTGTTTAAAAAATGAATTTCCACTTAATTCATCAGTTACTTGAAATATTTATAACAATGTCAGGCGAAAAATATTTAAGGAAATTTTAGTTCGGAAATAATTTTTAAGAGGGCTGCCTGTTTTGAAATTTTAAAATATGGTTATCAAAAGAACGAGTGTTAAGAAATCTTTAAATTCAACATTTGGTTTTTTTTTTGTTGAAAAAATTAAGCTCAATTTATTTAATAAATTAAATGGATTGTCAAAAGACAATTTCTAAACTTTATTGACGAGAGTTTGCCATGTGCTTAAAAATACTAAATTCAACTTAATTCATCAGTTAATTGAAATATGTATAACAATGCCAGGTGAAAGATTTTAGTTTGAAAATACCTTTAAAGAGGTTTCCACCTGTTTGAAAAGTCGAATTTGTTTTACTTATACGAAAGATACATAGATGAATTATCGAAATATTAGTGTCAAACGAAAGAGTTTTAAGAAAACTATGGGCTGATAATATTTTTAATAAGAGTTGCCATCTATTTTTTTGAAAGTGATCATATCTGCACCGTTATTTCGAATTTCCAAAATGAGAAGTCAAATTAAAGAACTGGGATTCTACATAGATGTGCACAGGTTTTATTTTTTGAAGTTACATGAAAACCGACACCATGCGAGACCTCTCATCACTCAGAAATGGTTAGATTAATCATTAGGAATATTTTTAGAGGCTTTTGAATAGGGTTTCACCTGTTTAAAAAATTTAATTAAAAGTTGACGTTTTGGCGCCATGCGGGTTCACTAGTTTGTTAATGAAATACGGGAAGGTTTGGGATACTACCACGCAAACATGACTTGTTCAAACCGAAATAATGCACATGAGAAAATACCGAAATTATGCATACGTATTAAAAGCGAAATAATGTATATAAAAAAAGAAACGAAGTAATGCATACAAGGACAGTTTGGGTTGAAAACAGTTTCCATATGCGCAACAGCTTACTGATGCCAGTCTGGCCACGCCGCCATCTGTACAATTAGCGCTAAAGTCGAAACCTCGAAGAATACTTGCCAGTAAGTGCCCTTAAGAATGATGTTAAGTGCCCCACTGATTCTAATGAGGATAGCTCCAGTTTTGATAAATTTCGTGCTGCTTCAAGATAACGAAAAAAAGTAGCTGAATTGGCAAAATAAAATATTTTGCATCTAAATTTAGTATCCAGTATAGTAGCATCTGTAGATTTTTCTGCTGGGTTAAATTATATACGAGCAATATTGCCAGCACTGCAATACAGTACGAATTTAGGCATACTTTTAGGCAGTGACACATTGATATTTACGATGAGGTTGTTGATTTTCTGTCATATACAAACGCATACATATTTATAAATAAGTATATATGTATATATTTTTGTATATGCATATCCTGACGGAAGCAAACGATTTTTACGTAGAATATGCGTTACGTTTCGATATGGATGCTATGCTCAAATGTTGCAGTTGTAATTTTTTAAAGCCTCAGGGCAACGTTTATTGCACGAGAACTTCTAAGTGTGTTTATTTTATTCATATATATGGGCATAAATGTTCGATTTTACAAAATGAGGTAACCCTGTGGATGGGCAATAACTTCTTATTTTTTTTCAAAAGGGTTGCCCCGTGATAAAAAAAATATATTCAAATAATTTTTAAGTTAAATCAGTTATTACACTATGAGTATCGATCGAAATGGTTTTGAAAAGGCTTTATTTGTAATTTTATATAGGAGGGTTGCCACCTGTTTCGAAAAGCAAGTTCGGCTTAAATAAAAGCAGAAAATTGAAACTTATATCCTGATATGGATGTCAGGCGAAAGAGGTTGTGGTTTGAAAATATTTTGCAGAGGGATGCCACCTTGTCACAAAGTTAGATTCAATGTAAGCAATAGGTTAAATACATTATCTCCATGTGAATATAAATCAAAATTGCTTTGAAGAAACTTTATTTCCAATCTGTATGTAGGAGGGTTGGCACCTGATTTTATAATTAAATTCAATTTAAATTAAGAGTACTCGATAATTAAATATGTATCACAATACAAGTGTCAGACGAAAAA